AAGGCCCATATAAGACAAACCCCCCCATACTTCCCTACATTTACATCTCCACATATGAAAAGGACCTACATCCAAGAGAGTCTCTCATCTTCTTCTTGTTCACGCACTAACCTTTTTTTTTTCTTTTTTCCTTTAGGGTTTATTTGCAATCGGATGTAATCGTCATTTCAGCTGCTATTTCCCTGCAGAGGACCAAAAAAAAGAAAAGAATGAACGTATGTCAGCTTAACATGCAGGTGGTTATTGGCCTTATACCATTACTGGAGAAACATCAAGTGCATGTCTTCTTACATCTAGAGCTACTTTTGCTCTGACTTTGGTGGCTTTTGCCATGTGAAACCGATGGAATCTTCGAGGTTATCATCGAAGTTTGCAGACCTTCAAGTAGCTGGTGTTACCAACACACAAGGTAAAAGAATCAGGGTTGAAGTTATGTCAAGATATCTGTTACCAAAGCACGTGAATTGATTGACCCATCCACATGCACCGTCTCTTTAACACTGATGATTCAGTATTCAGTACATTTCCAATATGACAGTGAAAAGTCCAGATAAATAAAAAAGATGCAATAGACAGACATTAAAGGACGTAAATGCATATGGCAGAAGGAACACACAAGTATCTACAATTCATTCTGATGTGCTGTGAATGATATGATTCTGTAAGAAGCATCAAAAGGCATGATATGCAATGCTGATCAGAATTAGCAGGGATGTAGCTTCATATATCTTAAATGCGCGCGGGTACTTACTCTGGAGGTTGGCTGAATCCTGCGGTTAGACCTACGTGGCTCAACGTTGTCAGACGTTTTTGAAGAGTTCTTACCGAGCACTTCGTACTCTTCAATCTTGGCTAACCTTCCATCAGCAGGAGCCAATTTCCCTTTGTTAATGCGTTCAGCTTTCAAGCTTGCAGAGGTTTTCTTAGAAGTAGGAATGCCTGAGGTATCATGCGAAGATAACGCAGTTTGCTCTTCTGTTGTTTCCCCAGATTGGATATCGGTAGGTATTCCAGATACAGTAGCCTTGTGCTCAGCTGTCTGATCAGCAGCTTCATCAGCTTCAAGATTAGAGGCTGAGATGTTCTGTGAGTCTTCTTTCTGGGCCATCGTTTTAGCAGCACCTCCCACTTTCTCTTTCAATTTGGATGCGGGTTTGAAATTCTTTGGCTTGGGTATAGTCGTCTGCCTCTCTCTTGGATCACTTTTAGAAGAAGTTCTCCAGGCCCGTGATCCTGAACTTTGGGGCACCATCGGTTTGACAGAGATAGCCGGTTCATTTTGTTGCCTAGTCTTACTGGCAGGCTCTGATATGTAGTGCTTGCTGACTTCCATGAACTTCCTCTTCTTTCCAGGCTTAGGAACACCGAAAATCACTCTTGATCCTTTCTTCTGCAAACCAGTCCTTTTCATCCGAAGGGAATCGGGCTTGTTCTCTTCTCTTGTACTTCTGCCAATATTAAATGTTTTTTCCGAAGCCTCCAGCTCAAGAAACCCAGTCTGTGGCAGTTTCCCTGATTCCAGAACAACATTCTTCGAACTAGTGTCATTTCCTTCAGCCTCATGAACAGGGCTTCTCAATCTAGGACGCTTCTCATTCGGTGTATCACCCTGCAATCAGATTTGTTGTCTTAGCAAATAACAGAGTACCAAAATGTGAAGCCCCTAGATCCACTGATGTCAATAATACCTCATGAAATGAGCTGATGCTGGCTCCTGAACTAGAAGATTCAATCCACCTTCCACCTTTCCACACAAGAGAAGGACGAAGATTCCAGGATTTCACCGTAAGTGTTTCCCCTTGCACTGCCGGATCAGAAGGAAACACATAAGTAAAATAAAACAGTTCTGACCTAGAGAGAAAAGCAAAGCATTCAAACATAAATCATGTCTTTACACACCTGGGAAATGGACAGTCAATGTAGTTTCGTCTTTCTTGTTCTTTTCAGAAATAACACCCTCCCACCAGCTGGGAGACAAAAAGAAAGGTAAATAATCTTATATAAAACTTCCAAAGAGTGCTAAAAAGGACTCTGAATAGGATTCCACAAAACAAAATCTGCAGATAAAACATGGTGGAAATGATACATAGAGAAGACAACTACGAGCCAGTTGTGATCCGTGTTTGGCAACAGCATAAACCAACAATTAAGAAAGAAACAATTATTACCTGTCATGCACCCACGCATCAACCTTGTCTCCAACTGACCAAGTACGATCCCCAGTGGCTGCTCTTCGTCTCTTCCTTGTTCCTTCAAATGGCATCGCAATAACAGAACGCGAAGTTCTTATTTTAGGGGCTATGTCACCAGCACCTCCAAGGGCTACAAACTCTTTCAACTTGTCTGTCCCTAAAATAAGATAAATCGCACAGAATAACATATTACGGCCAGTCCATAGCACCAGACAAAGGCAGTGTAGACTCTTTCATACACCAGTTAGTACACGAGATCCTTCCGTTCGAATTGATTTCATATTCTTGCCATGGAAACTACTGAAACTCACATGCATAACAATAATTACCAAGGAAAAGGTGGCCAGTGTTATATGGTTATCATATACCAATACTCGGATACCTTTTTTATTTTTTTATTTTCATTGTTGTAAGATGGGAAAACAGGAAAGTGGATCTCTCGCCTACCACGTTACAGCATTACCACATTCAAGACACTTTATGAAATAAAGTAGAGAATACCAAGTGGTAAAATAAAAACACACCTTCATCTGAAGAAAGATCAGTGTAACACACGTAAGCTTTACCATCCTTCAAGCTCAAAACATTGGCAGAATACCATCCTGTTCTTAATCCAGGCCCTTCCTTGAAAACCTACATGTATGGATCACAATAATGTTATCATTCAGAGAGGACAATATAGACTAACTACCATAATACCAACCTTGAATTAAAAGTTCAAAAGAATTTGTGCAACGGAAAGCGAAGAAAAAAGATGTGTAAAAAGGATCACAGTGCAGTGAGGGGCCAAGGAGATGACATCAAGGACAAGTTATGTGGTAACTAGAGAAACTTGTAAACAAAAATTTGTGTACGTGCATATATAGACGTTACACAAACCTCCACACTGGAACCCTCTTTGATGTCATTTCCATTTGCAGCTTCTATGATTCGTCCGCTTTCAATTTGGGTGTCGACTAAAGATATTGGCGCAGCCTCTGGTTCCAGAACATCGCTTTTAGCCAAATCTGCCATCTTATGACCCTTTGGTCCCTTTGTCTTCTTTCCAGTGGCAGAAACCGAACAGGATACACCATCTGCTGATTTCACAAGGTCATCCAACCCAGGGTGTCCATCTGCGCGCTTCTGCAGAGATAAGTTTTCTTTCTTCTCCGATGCACCCTTTTGACAAGGCTCCACTTCCTGAGATACCTGGGTGTGTCTCCTGTAACCATCTGAACCTGCCTCCACCAGCTCATTCAATGACAGAGGATCACCCAACGAGACAAGTTTTCCAGCTTGTGAAACAGCCTCAGCTGCAAGCTCAGCTGCTTTTACAATAGCATCCATATTTTCAGCTCGCTTTGTGGCAACTGTGGCAGCTTCAACCCTCTTCTTAGAAACCTCTCTAGCTGCAGTAAGAACCGAACTAGAACTAATTGATGCACCATTACACTTCAAGATAGATGCAGGAGTAGCCTGTCCTAGAATTTTACTACCTTCAATTTTAGAGAGTTCATTACCATGATCAGACCTATTCAAAATTGAAGCTTCCTCAGCAATTAATTTTGCCTGCAATGCAGCATTTGCTGCGACATTAGCTGCAGCAGCTGCAGCCTTCGCAACCGCAGCAGCGGCAGCTATGGCAACGGCTGCAGAAGCTAATTGGCTTTGATTTTCCGGTTCAAGTCTAGCATTCTTCAGTTGATCTACCTGCTTCCACACATACTGACTATGACTAACAGCTGCAGCAGCAAGAGAAGAAGCATCCTCTGCATGTCTCATAGCTTCCTTAAGTTTACAAACAGCATCCTCTGACAAGACAGATATCTGCTTCATTTCAAGGTCCACAGACACTAGATTACTGCTAAGAATGGAGGATGGTAAAGATGAACTGGGTTTTTCCAGGGAGAACGTAGAGGTCAAGTTCGGAGCGGCTGTCATGATAGAGACATGGTTAGTAGGGGCAGTAGAGTTAGAGGCAAGGTTAGCGAGAGAGGAGGTAAAAGGAGCAGATGGTGATATACATGCAACAAGAGGTGAAACAACTGATTCTGTCTGTTTCTGAGAATTCAAAATGCTTGGACCAGGCTCCTCAGAAACTGGAATCTTCTTCCGCTTCCTTGGTTTCGCGTCAATAGAATGTTGACTAGGTGCTACTACCACACCCTTTGGCTCAAAGAACGGTGTCCCTTTAACAACGCTGCTAGAAGTTCCACTTTGGACAATCAGATCTTTCTGAAGACGCTTTGCACCAGAGTGAGACAAAGATGTTTCTTTCATGGGTGTCAACTTTACAGCCTCTGTGATTGGAAAAACCGAGAAACGAGTACCGGCATCAAATGCACTGGTCTGTGGAGAAGCAAGCCAAGGGCTGCGGAAAGGGGTCGGTGATATCCAGGGGGTACTATGTCCAACCATACTATTAACTGGGGGAGTTTGGTGAGCATGCAACGAAGAAAGAAGTGGCTGGTGATCAGTAGCAAAACCTCTTTGCATGCTCCTTGGTTGTAAAGTATCGTGGGGTGTTGGGAGACTCCATAACGGTGATGAGAGAGGGATTACAGGGTTTACTGCAGGAATCTCTTTGCTACTGGTTTGACCGACTGATGGAGTCACTATCTTACCTGGAAGAACAGTTTTGGGTAAAACATCAGGACCTCCAGCATCTGCAATTCGCACCTCAGTTAAAAACAAAGAGGACTAAAATATGATAAATTACGAATAAATTAAGTTAGAAACCTGCATGCAACTGCAAAGGAGTTTCAGGAGTAGCAGCATGTGATTTCTGAGTCCTTTCAACACAAGCACGCCATGGTTTGTCCCAAATGCCTTTCCCACCATCTAGAGAAGGACACAGTAAACCTATTTGCTTGCATATGCAGATAACAGAAGAAATGTAGGGATAACAATCTTACCTGGACCACCAAATGCAGATATCATATAGGCCTCATCTGGTGACGTTCCTTGGCTGTACCGAGAAATTTCAAAACAAATAAACTTCAGCAACATAATTAATAAAGGAAGAACCCCAAATGGGATTGCTCTATAGATATGCAAACGTGATGAAGCCAGAAGACAAATAAACAAGGACAAAACACTTAAGCTCTGAAGGGCCAACTTTAGCATAAAATAAGACTAGATACACATGCAGAACAAGAAAAGAACTCACATCAAAGCCCCGTAAACAAATATCTGCGCACGCAGTTGCACTTGTTGCATGTCTGTGAAAGGACGTTGCAAAAGACTTGAAAGGGCAGAAGAATTCAAGTCCGGCAAGCTTGACGCAGGCAAAGAAAAGCTCCCAAACGGTTTTACAGCAGGATTCTCAGCACGAGGATTTTGCTGCTTCTCAGTAGAATGTGTGGTCTGACCAGTAGAAGGTGAACTTTGATTAAAAACACTAATTCTGCCCCCACTTTGTAATTGCCTTGCAGGTGTTGTCTCCTTTGCAGCATTTCCTTTTCTGGAAGTCTCTTTTACTGTAGATTTAGACGTCCGCCTTGGCTTACGCTCAGTTGTTCCTTTGGAAACTCTTGCAGCTGTTTTCTCTACTCTAGAAGTTAAAGGAGATCCGAGTACAACCTTGATAAACAAAGAAATATATGCTCTCAGTAAGTCTAAAAAACGACTTGACAAGGAAATGAGTCTCTCAAACAATAACAAACAAGTATGTTGAAAGAGAAAAAACAGAAGTACCGGAGAGATAAGTATAGCTCCTGAAGAGTTGATAGCTTGTGAAACTTCTCCCACTTGTTTAAATGGCAGATCTGCCAATGGAGTTGTATCGCAAGTTAAGCTCATCTGACCACTGGAAGTATCGTTTCTCTTCACCACCTGAGATCCAGCAGGCATAGAAGGTTTATTGCCAATGGGGGAAGTAGAAGGATTCTCAGGATCGGTATTAGCTTTTTCCCTTCCCACAGAAGGCCCAGGAAATGTAGAAATGCATGAAGAATCTGCTATTTTAATCGCATCACCTGCAATATCCAAGATAAGGCCAATAGAAATTCCAATGAGTAGGCAGATATCAACCGAAGGATAATTTGAAGGATACAACAGGTCTGTCCAAACAAGACTCATAGGAATAAGTAATATGTCTCAGTAGTAAGTGTACTTCTCCTAAGTGATAGCATGTCTAACATGATACCATATAGACAATAGGCTCTACCATGGAAATAATAAAGTTACCATACTCGCATACCTTATCTTACACGACAGACATAACAGCAGTTATACAAGAAGAAAGGTTTCTCTCTGATCAAAGACAATACAAACTTACCTTCAGTGCATAAAATGGGAGTTCCAGCTTTCATAACGTCCATGGATTCAGTATTATTATTTTCTTCCTCGTCATCCTTTTTAATTTCAGGCTCAAGATTATCCACGGCACCAGCATCAGATTGTGCATTTATACTCTCCCTGTTAGGATTGAGCTCCTTGCCTAGGGTGGAGGATGAATAGAGGGAGATAACAAGAGTTACTATAAAGACAACCAATCCATCAGACCTTATGGATACTCATAAATTTCCTTCAGAATCATACATGCACAGGACATGCTTAAAAAAGAAGGGATATATATGCATGCACATAGAACAGGCATATATATTACAAATTATAACAGATTTTATCCACTGTGAGCAAACAAGACAACTACTATATTGATCACTTATCGAGAAAATTGTCGGATATTAAGTCGACAAAAAGATCCACATGAGCAACACAATATGTGCGTATAGTTACCATGCAATTGCAACACAAGAAGGCAATAATGTTCCATCCAAATGGCGATACAGCAATGTGCAATATAAAACAATATGAACATATGATCAGGTTCTATATATAAGCAAAAAAAGATCTGAAAATTCAAGTATACACTCGTATAGCAATGTGCAAACAGCCAAACATGTTCAAGTACTAGACCAACCAACCCAGTTCGTATCCCCCTCTAGTAGGGGTGCTGGGGAAGGGAATATACTAGGCCGCCTTACCCCTACATTTTAATGTAGAGAGATGGATTCGAACCCGCGACCTCAGACCCCACGGTAAATGGTTTTACCGCTGAGCCAAGTCGGCCCTTCATGTTCAAGTACTAGACAAACAGAAAAAAGATTACCTGACACGTTTTTTAATCCTGCATCCTGATTTTCTTCGGGAATTCTTTCCTCAGATTTCTGCAGCACGGTTTGTCGTGTAGCGTCCTCAGCCTCCACTTCCTTCGGCCCATCATTAACAGGACAGTCTTCAATTTTATAGGTACCGAATTGAGTATCTTCGTTATGCTCACAAGCTTGTTTGTCCATCTGACTCCCTGAACCACACAGAGTTTGACCATTGTCAGGTTCAGATGATGAAACTTTCTCAGTTTCAGAAACACAGCCTTTCTCAGTCAAATCAGAGGATGCTTCCGGGATTGATAAATCTGCTGACAAGGTAACACTTGCAGCAGGTGTTTTGTCATTGTTGAGATGTTTTAACTCATCGACATTGAGAGGTGATGCTTGACATTCTTGCTCGTTAACGATAGTCCCTGCGAAGAAATAAATATACATAAAAGTATGGATAATTTAGGAGACATGGAAAAAGGACTAATTACTACATCATCTGCAGCAAGCAGCAGTACAGTGGCACTGGGTGGATAGACGACCAGAAAAAAGTAGCGAAAGGAATTAGATAGCAAACAGAGAAAGACACAAAGTGTAAGCCAACAAAGCAATGCCAAAAAGACTAGACAGCGACATACTCGATTTGTCACCTGGAACGGTATCAGACAGAAATTTCGATTCTGACGGCCTGGAAGCAGAGGCTCCTGAATTATTACCAAAAGACTTCAACACAGTTCTTTCAGACACAATTTGAGAGCTACAGGCATCATGATCAACAACACTGGCATCGAAAGTCAAATCTGTTTTCTGCTCGAGACTAGCAGAACCTTGAACAATGTCTTCATCATCAGCAGTCTTCCAAGAGACGCCACCTACACGAGCATTGCTTGATTCACCCATCATCTCCACAGGTGAATTACGAACAGCCTCTGAAGTTTCAACTAGATGAGTCTGTGCAGGTGTCTCAGTCTGGATAGAAGATTCACACTCATTTACAATGGTTTCTAAATTCTCATGATTGAGCAACTCAGGCTTGCAGGAATGTTATTCCCACTAGTTACCTGTGCATACAGATCAACAGATGTCTCAATAGTTGTACTAGCATGAGCAATGCTGACATGGACATTTTGGCATTGTGCCTCTGAATCATTAAACGAACCCAAAACATCTTGTCCACCTGCCTCAATAACTGACGGACTTTGGCTTCTTCTTTCCATCACTGGGAAATCAGATGGCTCAGTTGGCACCAAGTCAGGCTTTTCCACATTAGTTTCCACATTTTCACATTTAGAAGATGAGACCACATGGCTATCAAAATGAGCCTCGACGGAAACCAACTTTCCATCTCTATTCAGATCAGCAATAGAAGTAATATCACTCTGCACAGAGCCACATGTACGATCAGTTTCCATTCTTGAATCTGAAGAAATTTCAAGCTCCTTTTTGTCGAGAAGACATTCAGTTGTCTCAGTCCCTATCTTATCTTTTTCAACAAACATCTGTTCTGCATATCCCGCGTCATTCTGCGTGCTCACAGTAACACCAACCTCCTCATTGCCAGTTTTTAAGGCCAAGATGGTACTCCTTCCCTCCGCAGATAACTCGTGGGCAACAGTTGGTAAAGCATCTTTAACCAAGGGTTGTTCTGGTCCAACATCTTCCAGCGAAACAGATGACTCTCCAGGAGTCTCATCCAAAGATGGTCTGGGTTGTAAGTTCACTGCTTCCTCTTTAGAAAGACTGTTCACACAAAGCGTCTCACTAGGCTCCATTTGTTCCGCTATGCTACCTAGTTCATCACAAATGTCAGATTTCTTAACAGTATCCTCTCTTGCAATTATTTCATCCTGCCCAACTGACTTCAAAAGCATTTCAACAGATTCCATTGATGTAGCCTCCGACCAAACATTATTGTGCCTCGAAATGGCACAAGACTCTGCTGCACTTGAACTAAATACTACACCACTGCTTCCCCGGGAGAAATCCTCAATCCAGTTATTATCTTCGTTACCCTCAATACCAAGAAAACCCTCAGTTTCAACTAAACTGTCAAATCTCAGATGCCCATTAAGGCTGTCATCAAAATCAAACTTAGGAAGAGCATAAGGCTGTGACACTGGCGGATATTCATTGTTAGTATCTCCAGCTAAATGAAGATTCTGGCTTTGAAAATCATTGTCATCATAATCCATGGGTTTATTCCTGCAATCATGAATAAAATAGTTCATCAGATACTCAGCAGACTCTATCTCCAAGTTCGAAAGCATTCCGTACAGCGAGACTGGAAATGGCTGTCAAAAAATTACACCAACAACCTCGATGTTTCAGTAGAAAATGCCTCCATGAATTAAGTTAGAATATAAAGCATACCACCAACCGGATACAAATGTATTGATAGCAGAAAGGACTTTATCACTTCGTATCGCGTCAAACAAACAGCAGGAAAATATAAGTACAGTAACAAGAGAGTATATAGAGACGCTACCTCCCTCCATTCGGTGACAAAATCCTGGGCGTCGAACCTCAACCCTTTCCTAATCGCACGTTCATCTACTGCAAGAGCAACAAAAACAGCGGACGCGTCAATACTCTCCCTTCTCAAGTTCATTTGAAGAAAAAAAAACTACTCCAGAGGAAGCCGTGAAAACCCGAAAATATAATCTGGTGAACCGACGCACGACTAATTGAAACGCCGGAAAAGAAGAAAAACTCACCGGAGTGAAGAAGAGGAGAGGCGGAAGACAGGCTAGGGTTCCGGCGAATAGGAAGACGGAGAGTGCGCGAGTTAGAAGAGGAGAGAGAACGAAAGATAATTTATTCGTTTTTCTCGGCAAAGGAAATGAGTCTGGGGCAAGGAAAAAAACAAATACTTATATTTAAAAAAAAATGAAAGAAATGCAAAAAAAAAGGGAGGGTGATCAGTTTTTTTATATGTCGATGAGAATAGATCCTTCGTTGAACAACGCACGTGGCAGACTCTTAGACGTTGCACAAAGGATGCAGGGGAAAGTTAAAATGACTGGTGGGTTACTAAAAGCTGATTGGCTATTTGGACTTTGGAATGGGTTGGGTTGCTAACACGTGAGAATGAGAATAGATTAAAAAAGAGAGGAACTTGGGTTAGGTTTGGGCCTGGAGTGGACGGTATAACAACAGTTTCAGTCAGCCCATTAAACTTAATGAGATGGGCCAAGGCCCATATAAGTTGAACCCGGCGATGTCACCTACTAAACCCGCTAAAGCAATCAGAGGGTTGATCATTCTCCGACATCTGTTTTCGCCATCAAAAGGAACATTCCATTTTAAATTCCGTTATTACGTTAAAGATAGATTAATTATTAAATTATGTTATCCTCGATGTGAAGTGCGTATCGAAACCTCACGTTTTCTCTCCGACGTTCATACGTGTGAGGAAGACGAAAAACACATCGGTTTTAACGAGTTCGGTTACCGAGCGGAGCTCGGGCCTACATCTCGGCCGGACGGTACCGGCGAATCCACTAGAAGAAGAACGAAAGAGTAGCCGGCGGAACACCACAATCCGGTGTCTCGCCGTAACGTTCGTAGAGAACAGAATACACCCAAGAAACAAGAGAGTCGAGACAAACCTTAACGGAGTCACTCACCTTCAGCCTCGGCTCGCACCGCCGGAGCTCCACCGGCGAGATCGCCTCCGAGATCGCCTTCGATCTCTTTCTCTCTCTCTCTTCTCTCTTCCTCTTTTCACCTCCTCGAGCCACGCGCTTCTTGCGTGTTGAAGAACAGAAACAATAGGGTTAAGATTAACCCTTATCGAAACGCCACGTTTCGGTCAAAACCGAAACCTCCTTCTCTAGGAGAAGGTTTTCTTTCTTCAACTAATGGGCCTTAAGGCCCAACAATCTCCACCTTGGTGGAGAAAGAGAACCGAAAATAGAAATAAACACTAATGGTTCGCCGTTTCCAGCATCGATCGACTTTCGTCGATCCCTCGACTTTCGTCGGAATTTAAAACGCAACTTACCTCACTTACCTGGTGTCCCGGAGTTAGTCACATGTCGCCCTCAATCTGATGAAGCTCCCGTCGATGACTCCTCAAGGCCTTGTCGCCTTATCCGCCACCGATCAGCTCATCTTTACCTGAAACACTTGGTAAACGTGTTAGAACGTTCACCCCGATAAGACTCGAACCGTAGTCCTATCCCGCGTCGCCCGACCAACAAACGCTACCCTCGGTTGTATGACTCCCTAGACCGTCTAACTAACCCTCCTAGTAAAGTCCAAGACTATACCTGCTAGCTAACCCGAGAATTACACCCGACGTCTACCCGTCTCCTAAGTCTATCCCGACTTTCCCGAGACTAACCTGAGTCATACCACCGAACCCGCTAGATACCTAGCCCGGATCCCCGTGAAGTCTATACTACCTATAGGTATACGACTTCTACCCTCGGACCCTAACCTGCCAACTAGAGTTGTCCCACGGTTTTGTCCCGTGAAGACGCTCCTAGTCATCTACGATGCTCCACCGAGGATAAAAGACACGTGAGTGCACGTGCTCCACCTCGAGAGGGAGTGTCCTAGCGCTCCAACCTACACCGACTCTACCCAGTGAAAACCCGACACCTCCCTGCTCACACCATCTCATGAGCATCCTACCCGAGGAAGCTCCACCTAAATGTGGAGATCTCACCTCCTGACCTACCACCGATAACCAAAGCATCTTCGGTTACTACTCCGAGGTCAAAACGTCCTTCTACCTCGGACTCTCCCTACCTCGTCATCCGGGACCTACAACACCTTCTTGTAGTGTCCCTACCTACCCGCGGAACAACTCACTCCACCTGGTCCTTGGCCTACTCCTGCACCCGATTTCTCGGGTTTGCCCGAGACCCCTAGTCCTTCCACCATACCCCTTTCAGGGTATACCGAGCTAGAATGTCTAACTCCATCATCCTAAGACGATAAAACCTGAGTCTAAAACCGACTCAACCCGGAAGTGACTTATCCGACCCTAGAAGTGATGTAACATGACATGAGGGATGAGACCGAACCCTAGAGGACGTAACCCTAGGTATATTTCTACCTAGCCGTGCTTAAACACGCTCTAACCCTAGTCTATCGGTCCTAAACCTAGGTACGTCTTTACCTAATCAGACCTACTAGACTAAGAGAACACAACCTAACGGGACTTAACCTAGGCACTCAACCTAAACCCGATCTAACGGACTTTAAACTAAGTCTAACTAGACATCTTCCTAGGTATATATTACCTAAACGGATCTAACACACTCTAAACCAGACATGATTTGGACTTAACACAAGGTATATATCTACCTAACCGACCTCTTAGACTCTCGCACCAACCTGATTGGACTTACCCTAGGCATAATTTTGCCTAACCGACCTATTAGACTCGAAACATAGCCTACCTTAAGACCTGATTACGTCTAACCAGACCTAACTTAAGGCTACACAGGTCTGATTACGTCTAATCAGACCTACAACACCGAGTCTACATGGCCCCCAACACAGTCCTAACCAGTCCTACGATCCCGAGTCTACCCGGCCCTCACAAAGTCCTAATCAGACCTACCCAAGTGCTACCTAGATCCTAACAGCCCTAGTTAGACAACTAAAAGTCCCGACTAGACCATCACACGACCCTAATCAGACCTAAGCCAACCCTTGTCGACCAACCCCTGATTAGATGACCCTAAGTCCTAGTCAATCACCTAAAAGTCCTAATCATCAAACCTAAGCCAACCCCTATTGACTTATCAACCCCTTATTAGACTTTTAGCAACCTAATCAGACCTAAAATAAGCCTAATATGACCTACCTTACTTCTGATCAGATCCAATAAACGCCTAAAACCAATCTCTATAGACCTGTCCTGATCTAAACCGACCCCTACAGACCTATACCTAGTGATTCTAGACTTAACCAACCCCTAAACCAACCCGTTTTAGTCAAATCCCACCTAATCAGACCTAACCGGTCAATGTACCGGACTCTATGACTCAAAACTGGTACTTAGGAGTCCTATCTAGTCCTAACCTAGATAATACATAAGTCTATAATCAGATTCTAATCTGATTAGACCTAGACAACATCTCTATAGACATTCTAAACCTCTAATCAGTCCTAACCAAGTCTATTTTGACCTAATTACCTACTAATCAGACCTAAAATACGCTAGACTAACCCGAATTTGGCTAAACCAGACCTAAACAAGACCTAAATAGCACTTACAGACCTATATCAGACCTGTCCCAGCCTATTTAAGCCTAACCAGACCTCCTACCCAACTAAACGTAGTCAAATCCAACCTATTCAGACCTATACTGAACAGAAACAGGAATCTTTGACCTACATCAGCTAAACCGAGATCTAAAACAGGTCTATCCTTAGTATATTTCACTAAACCAAGCCAAATTTGGATACTAGACCGACCTAACAGGGTAAACCGATCGCTACAGACCCTAATCTACCCTAAACCAGTCCACTATGCCCTAATCCAAACACCATCATACCTCATTTGGACTAACCTAACCCTAAACCAGTTAATTCTAGTCCTAATTGTACACTCCAGACCTAAACCGACTAATCTAGTCCTAAAACCCACCAACTCATGCCCTAACACAACCAATAACAGCCTTAACTAGATAAATCAGACCCTAAATAGACTTCTACCAGCCTAAAACAATCTGATATTACCTAATTCTGGACCCAATTGACCTGTACGGTCTAATTCTAGCCTAATTGGACGAACAGACCCTCACATTATACCTAAACCAGTCTAAACTGGCCTTAATTCACCTCCAATCAGACCCTATTGGTCTGAACCGAACAATTCTAGCCCTTCCGAGACAAATCAGACCCTAACCAAGACTTAAACCAGCCTAAACTAGTCTGAATTGCCTTATACCGGACTCAATTGACCTAAACCGGACCTGAATCGACCTAAACCAGACCTAGATTGACCTGAATCGGTCTAAACCGGTAATTGACCCCAAACCGGACCTGAACCGGTCCGATTTGACCTAAACCGGTCAACTGTTGACCAAATTGGTCAATGGTTTGACCGAACCGGAGTGAACCGGTCTGAACCGGCCAGGACCGGGTCTGAGCCGGACTGAACCGGCTGGAATCCGGTCTGAACCGACGGAACCGGGCTGAACCCGGTCTGACTGTCGAGAACCGGACTTGGATAGAATCGAACCAGGTTCGATTGACCCAAACAGGGTTAAACCGAAATTGGATCGATTAAACCGGTCTAAACCGGTTGAATCCGAAACCCTAATTTCGGAAACCCCAAACCGCAGAGTCAACCGAGTTGACTCAGTCGTTGACTCACCCGATTCCTCCACTCAAACCCTAACTCGGACGAGTCGGGACCGAGTTTCGCCGGAATCTAGCTTTCTCCGCCGAGTTCACCGAGTTTCTTTGAAACTCGGTCTCAAAACCGGAGAAAACGCGGAAGAATAATGGAAAACGAGTCAGAAAACCTACCCGACTCACCTGGTTTGAATCTGACCTCACCGAATCTTGATCTCAGACGCTCCACCTCGACGGATCTTGCCACCGGCGACTCCGAGGCTTCAGATCTACCTCCCACCGTCGCCGAACTAGCTCCGTCTTCAGCTGAAACACTCGGCAGAGCATCAGATCGCTCACACAGACAGATTGAACCAACAACCCGTAACTTACCTCGCCTTTTCCGGCGAACTTACCTCCCTGGATCAAAACCGGAGCTCTGATACCACTTTGTGAAGTGCGTATCGAACCCTCACGGTTTCTCTCTGACGCTCGTACGTGTGAGGAAGACGAAGAACACATCGGTTTTAACGAGTTCGGTTACCGAGCGGAGCTCGGGCCTATATCTCGGTCGGACGATGCCAGCGAATCCACTAGAGGAAGAACGAAAGAGTAGCCAGCGGAACACCACAACCCGGTGTCTCGCCGTAACGTTCGTAGAGAACATAATACACCCAAGAAACAAGAGAGTCGAGACAAACCTTAACGGAGTCACTCACCTTCAGCCTTAGGTAAGATCACCTATATAAGTGAGGAGTTATGATGGCCGCTCCTATAAGGAAAAAAAAAAAACACTTATGAATCCAAGATATGGTCCATGGCCGAAACGGACAACAACATGAGAACAAAAACGAAAGTTAGAAATGTTATTGTGTGAATACTGGTTGTCTTGGTATATGTTATACAAATCTTACCTACCGAACTTTATGTCGAAAGTATTCTGCTATACTCTACCTTATTTAAGGTGTAGGAATCATTAAGAATTCAATATGGAATTCAACCTCACCACGATACGCAGATTTTTCTTACACTTGGATTATCGCTTTAGGAATGAGATGGAAATAAGTTCCAAGTGTTCAACTGAACTTCCATAACTTGGTTTTCCCATTGAACCAAGATCTTGGGATCTCCAGTCAACAAGGTTGGGTTACCGCTATGGTCATTCTTTTAATTCGTGGATTTTAATCCCATTCCTCTCGATAACTTGTACAATTGATCTCGATTAAGGCCTTTCGTTAACGGATCTGCTAAGTTTTCCTTAGACTTAACATAATCTATGGTTATTACACCATTTGAGATCAATTGTCGGATGGTATTATGTCTACGACGTATATGTCGAGATTTACCATTGTACATACTATTTTGTGCCCTACCAATTGCTGACGTACTATCACAATGAACAACACTTGACTCTGGCCGAGTCAAAACTCTGGTAGACACTTTTTGGCCACGAGATCTAGGGTTTCACCCTGTTTCGATGCACCATCAAGCCGTCTTCGACGAAAAACGAGCAAAGTTCCCCGAGCGGAACGTTTAAACTTTGGATTGAAAGTTCCACTCGGGACTATTTGATTCAGAGAAAAACGTTTCGATGTGGGATTTAAAATTTAAAGTTGCGCGTCGATGTGGGACGGTTGGGCTCCGAACCAATGCGTTCTCGACATATACGTCGTAGACATAATACCATCCGACAATTGATCTCAAATGGTGTAATAACCATAGATTATGTTAAGTCTAAGGAAAACTTAGCAGATCCGTTAACGAAAGGCCTTAATCGAGATCAATTGTACAAGTTATCGAGAGGAATGGGATTAAAATCCACGAATTAAAAGAATGACCATAGCGGTAACCCAACCTTGTTGACTGGAGATCCCAAGATCTTGGTTCAATGGGAAAACCAAGTTATGGAAGTTCAGTTGAACACTTGGAACTTATTTCCATCTCATTCCTAAAGCGATAATCCAAGTGTAAGAAAAATCTGCGTATCGTGGTGAGGTTGAATTCCATATTGAATTCTTAATGATTCCTACACCTTAAATAAGGTAGAGTATAGCAGAATACTTTCGACATAAAGTTCGGTAGGTAAGATCACCTATATAAGTGAGGAGTTATGATGGCCGCTCCTATAAGGAAAAAAAAAAAACACTTATGAATCCAAGATATGGTCCATGGCCGAAACGGACAACAACATGAGAACAAAAACGAAAGTTAGAAATGTTATTGTGTGAATACTGGTTGTCTTGGTATATGTTATACAACTGGGGGGTTCAAGGCATCACGTCCACCAACTGGTTAGTATGCCCGACAGTATTTCACTAAGGAAGGTTCAAGGCAAAAAACTACCATCCCGATGCAATAATAATTCATCGGAACTCTTTGGAATAAACAGTTTTTATGCATTCATTAATTTTCATTCATGTGGGGGATTGTTAGAAAAATGTTATTAATTTCTTAAAACCAATTTGTGGTGAATGAGAAATTAATTCTAAAATGTGGTTATACAAAATAAATATAAAAATGTGGAGGAAAAACATTTGTCCCACATTGGAAAAATGACAAGCACAAGGAAGGAAGCTTCCTTATATTTATGTTTGTCCCACATCTAAAGTTTTGGCCAAGAGGAAGGAAGGAGCTTCCTTATAAAAAGAGCCCCCCTTGAGTCAATATTGTTCAAGCTCAAGGTTGACTAAAGCTAAACATGCTTGGTCCCACTTCTTCCTCTTGGGAGAAAAACGAGCAAAGTTCCCCGAGCGGAACGTTTAAACTTTGGATTGAAAGTTCCACTCGGGACTATTTGATTCAGAGAAAAACGTTTCGATGTGGGATTTAAAATTTAAAGTTGCGCGTCGATGTGGGACGGTTGGGCTCCGAACCAATGCGTTCTTGACGAAACGTTTCCTTTTGGAACGATTCGGCTAGAACCGCTGGTTGAAAGGGTGGAACCTCTTCCTTCACATGTTTTCGTAGCAACCCCCGAATATTATAAATAGGGCGCCCATAGGATCATTTTCTGCATCCCATTTTTTCTGAGTGCATTCTTCCTTTCAGAAAGAAATAATCTCAAACCTTTTCTCTAAAGAGTTCTGAACTTTTGTAGTTCGTTGGATTCTCTAAAGCAGGTGGTGCTTTTGTAGAATCGTAAGTCGTTGTATCTTGGAGACGATTGCTGTAAACCGTAACCACTTGATAACGGGGCAATTTCGTCTTGAGGAGATTGTGTCTAACACAAGCCTCGACTTAACCCACTTCAAAAATTTTCTTTTCTTTTGGATATTCTGTCTGAATTTCTGAATCCCACATCTGCGGATTCAACAATAATCCTATAACATGGCTAAACACAGAATTCAGAGGCAATGGTCGGATGCTTGAAGAGCATCAATAATCCTACAGAAGCTGGAAACAACAAATCTGAACTAACGCATTACATCCTTTTTTCCTGAAATCCAGACACATTTCAGCATCAGAAGCAACTAAGAACCTTAAAAAAAATGCTTACTTGCACTTGCCTGAGTTTTCTAAACCAATCACCATGATCACAACGGTAAGCAGAAAGGTCAAAAGAAGACAAACCTGAACACCACCGTCGCCAGCGGAGCACGGGAGGAGGACAGGACCGGGATTGGATCGTTCGACGGAGACATGGACAGGAACGCTGAAGCCTTTCGTAGGAAGCCCGGTTTCACGAAACGTCGGCCGATTGTCGGCTCGCCGTTTGTCTCCGACGCCGGAGCCGGCTCCGGTACTATCTCTGCCATCTTCCTCGTCTTTCACCATCTCGTCCCTCCCTAGCCCTAGAATCCCCGCGAACTTCTTCAGAAACCCCATCAACCCCCACAAATTAAAGTCACCCAAATCGAATTCGGACCGATTTCTTTGATGGGTAAATCAGGAACACAGAAATTCTCACGGGATACCGGTCTTTCCAGGAGTTGGGAATTTCCTCCCAGTCGTATCGTCTTTTCACGATCGGGTCCGAATCCGATGATACTCATAACCCATGAAATCTCTGTCGTGACTTCAGTTGAATGCGCTCCGTCTTTTCTGATTCTGCGGGAAATGCGGAAGAAAATGGATCGAAGACGGATCCAGCAAGTTCTTCTTCTTCTTCCTTTTCGCCTTTTGCCTTTCTGTAGTAACAGCGCGGTAAATAAAATTAAATCGGTTTTAGGAGAATTATAATAATTTAATTTATATTGAATTTGATTTAATTTGGTTTGATTTTATTTCAGTTTTGGTTTTATCAATGAAAATAATTAAATTTAAAAAAATCAGTTCTTAATTTTTTTATTCCGTTTGTTTAAATTTAAACTCTATTTTTCGGGATTAAAAAGCATAACTATTAAAGTTTTATTTCGAATTAAATTCGATTACAATTATATATCAAATTGGTTTAATTATGAAATTATGCTTTGTGTTATATAATTAACATGACTAAATTATTATAAAACGGGTCGGGTTTGTATGAACCCGGCCCACTGAGAAAAGTCCGCCTGCCAAGTGCCAACAAGTTCTTCCTCTTATCCCTTTTTGAAAACGTAATAATTTCGACGCCCAGTGGTCATTTCATCGTCGTCTTCCTTCTTCATCGTTCCGTTACCAACACCGCAATCTCGACGAACCACCCTGTTGTGTCTCGGATCGCCTTTCTCTATCGTTTTGTCTTCCGGTCCGATTTTCCGGAGGTTGCCTCGATCCGCCAGGATCGAAGATGTCGATGGCTGCTTCCGCCATTTCCTTCCTCAATCTCCGTGGCGATGTTCTCATCAATCGCCTCGACCGAGATGATGTTGGGTGTGATTTCTTCTCGAACTTTCTGATCTCCTCTCTGCCTATCTTCTTGAATCGTGATTTTGTTTTGGAGGGTTTGCGAAATTTGTTCTCCTCTAGCTAGCTGCTGCCGTTTATTTAGGGCTTTTGTCTGGGACGAACGAGCTGTTAGTTGTAAAGTTTATGGGTTTAAGATTCAGTTGATTTGATTGCAGGGGAAATATGGTGGATGCATTTCGAACTTAGGTATTTGCCCTGTTCGACAGATTGGCGGCTGCCCTTTTCTCTATATGCGAATCAGCAACGTCTACATTGTAATTGTCTTCAGATGTAGCTTGTGCTTTCAAATTCGTTGTTGAGGTATTTGATTTTACTTCTTCACTCTCAATTCCACATAGTTTTTGCCCAAATTGGGTTTTTAAGGATTCAGATTAGATTGTCCGGTCGTTTTCAAAAGTTTAGCTCTTTGATAGAAATTTCTGAAGATTAGGGGCTTAGATTGGAATATGCATCTGACTTCAATTACTGTTTTGGTTCACAAGCAGGCCGCTGCGTGTGTTTAAATCTTACTTCGGTGGAGATTTTGAATGAAAATGCTATACGAAATAACTTTCATCATATCCAGCATTCGATCGTTTCAACCAAGGCCGCACTTAGTCACTCTGTTGTTCTTCTACCACTCCAAGTGATCATTTTCCGCGGCGTAGTTTCAGAGTTTGTGGACTTTGGCTACCCCCAAAATCTCTCCCCCTGAAATTTCGAAACTTCATATTAGTGAAGAAGGGAAGAAGGTGGGCGGTCGCCATTTTCGTCGAAGGTAAACTCTATATACAGACTTGAATTGGTGTTTCCTACTTAAGCCAAATTTCACCATAAGAATCAATAATGGTTTTGTGCCTATAATCTGCCATGTTAGTTCATTGTTAAGTTGCTTCTTCTCATGTGTAAAAACCTGTGAAACAGCCTACATACAGACAAACCTGTTCCAAACGCAACATTACAAGCTACTGGTGCTGTTGGATGGCGAAGAGAGTGACAATTCTATAGAAAGAATGAGGTATTTAAATATCATCATCATCATCAAACCCTTGAGTCTTTTTCAATGCAATTCTTTAACACTGTTTTATAAGTTTATTTTTTTCTATTTTTCTTTATGCCAACGCTCACAACTTTCTGGTTGGAGGGTCCGTTTTCTTTACAAATGGATTATATAAGTGAATAAATTCAATTACAGTAATTCCACCATTGGAATTCCATATTTTTTTGTACAGGTGTGAGATAAAGAATGGATATACAGCACAGTGGAGTTCGATGCGTAAACAAAGCCGGATCGTATAAAATCAGGTGCTAAGATTCAGAATTTTTTTTTCTTTTTTCATTCTCAGGTTCTAATAAAAGGATATACGTCATCAGACACATTTCTTGGCTTGGGGACATTGGTGAAAAATATGACTTACACATGTCTGGTGTTTTGTAGGAGCATTTTCTATAAAAAAAAATAAATAAATAAATTTTGTGGTAAGATAATTTAGTGAGAAAAGAACTGAAAAAGATGAGTGTCATTTTCATAAATATTGAGTAATTTTTGTTGTTATAGAAAGGGGCATATGAGGAAACCTGACACAATCAGCATGTTTGATTTCGCCAGCAGTCAAAGTCAAACCCCCACAATATCTTACCACTATTGTTAATTACTATAATATTCCTTATAATTAATCCGGAAAAAACTTGTAGGTTTGTTGGTTAAAAGAGTCGGTCCATGAATCGAGATTCTGGCCACGAGTATACATGCAAACGAACATTTAAATAAAGAGGAAAAAAAAAATGTGTGGGGTTTTAAAAAGAGATATACCTAACAGGTGTGAATGGACCGGACATCATTGAAGCCCAACTCACATGTAAAAAAAAATAAAAATCTATTATTATTATTTTCAGGTAATTAAATAACAAACAAATCCCCTGAAAACCCTAGCACTAAGTTTGAATAGATTTACTGAAATCTAATCTCTGTTTGTATCCTTTTTATTTAATTAAAAAAATAAAAATAAAGAATTGATTTATATAGGTGACATAGCTCTCCCTTCTCTCTCTCTGAGTCCGCTTCCGCTACAGGGAGAGTTGTTAGCTCACACGCTTTGGTTTACAACTCAAAGAAGCTTGCATTTTCTCGGCATCCAAACAGGAAAAAGAAAAGGATCCGTCCCAACAAACTCACAAAAAAGGGGAAGAAATCCTCTCGGTTGGGTCGGTCATGGATTCGAGGGAAGTTCCTCCGCATCTGCAGCCGCCCCCCGCCATGTTAATGCCCCACCACACCTCCTTCCACAGAAACCCTAACGCCATGATCGGACCTGCTTCCACATCTCCCTCCATCCATCACTCCTCCGCCGCCGGAGCCCGCCTTCCCTTCGGCTCTCTCCAGCCTCCTCCTCCTCCTCCGCCGCAGATGGAGCAGAAGGTGCTTGATTCTCTCGGATTCGACGGATCGCCTTCCTCCGCCTCCGCGCAACAGTCGATGCGATTTGGAATCGAACAGCAGGCGAAGAAGAAGCGTGGTCGGCCGAGGAAGTACGCTCCCGATGGCAACATTGCCCTCGGTTTGGCTCCCACTTCTCCTCTCCCTTCTGCTTCCAGTTCCTACGGCGGCGCTGACGCCATCTCAGGTGGTGATGGCGGCGGAGCCAACGCCAACTCCGCCGATCCCCCTGTCAAGCGCAACAGGGGACGTCCTCCTGGCTCCGGCAAGAAGCAGCTCGAGGCATTAGGTTAACAAATCGATCTCGCTCTATGAATATCAACCATTTCCGATGAACACATCCGCTTCTCATTACATGCATCTATACGGGTTTGATATCCGCTCTGTTTTCTGCTGTCAACAGGAGGGATAGGCTTTATGCCTCATGTAATCGAGGTCAATACAGGGGAGGTATTGTTCTTTTTCATCGTGTTGATCATATGGTTTGATTTCTTTGTTAGTTTTTGCTTTAACAGGGGAGGAATTTCTAAACATTTTACTTCCGTTTCCTGCATTATATCTGAGGGTGGAATCTATCAAGTGATAGAGGATTAGTCACCCTTTGAAATGTGCTTTGCTTAATCGTTTCTTGCTCTGCGAATTGGTTTATCTTGAAAAGTTCTTTCCTTGTGGAGTTGATTGCAGTTTCATTTATCAGATTTGTCACTCGATGAATTGGAATTGCTTTCTGGTGATATCTCGTTGCCAAAAGTTGCAGAAAAAGGTGTGTGAAGTAAACGAGTGAAAAGGTGTGAAATTTGATCGGGTTTTGTGTTGTATTTTCAGGATATAGCATCAAAGGTTATGGCTTTCTCACAAGAAGGGCCACGGTCCATCTGTATTCTCTCTGCTAATGGCGCTGTTAGTAGCGTGACCCTTAGCCAGGCTACCAGTTCTAGCGGCGTTGTTACATATGAGGTACACTCCTCATCCTTTGTATTAGTATTTTTGTCTTTCAATATGCATTTAGTCTTTCAATAGTTGCGAACAGAGAAGGATATCACATTCCTTGCCTTTGTTTAATCTCCTTTTTGTTTTTGTTTTCTGATTGTAACTCATCCTCCATCATGGGTGTGTGGGTTTTTATCCAGCTGACGTTTGTTATAATTCTGAGATGAGGATGGTGTCGGCATTATACAGGGCCAATTCGAAATCGTATCGATGTCAGGGTCGTTCTTGAATTCAGAAAGCAATGGTAACGCAAACAGAACAGGCATCCTGAGTGTAGCGCTAGCTGGCAGTGATGGCCGGATGATGGGTGGTGTCGTTGCCGGAATGCTAGTAGCTGGATCAAAAGTCGAGGTATTTTCCCCTTAGTGGATCACTGAAGGGTAGGTTTCATTCGATTTGATCCAATCATCAATCCATACATGATCTGGTTGGGTTAGGTGATAGTGGGGAGCTTTGTGACGGACGGAAAGAAACAGAAACAGAGCGGGAATGGAAGAGCATCAAACCTGGAAGCAGCATCAGGAGGAGGAAACATGATGATGAACTTTGGCGGGGGAATACTGCAGCAGCAGCAGCAGGAGAGGAGTCCGATGAGATCGACGGATTCATCGGAGGAGAATGAGAATGAGAGCAGCTCCCCTTCCTTCAGAGCACTCAGAAACAACAACAACAGCAGCAGCAGTGTTATGTTCGGTGGCGGTGGAAGTGGAAACAACAACTCAGGAGCTCAAACTGTCATGCCTCAGCAGCAGCAGCAGCAGCAGCAGCAGCAGCAGCACCCTCTTCATCATTCTATGTTCCACCATCTCTGGGGCCAAAATCCTCAATAAATTTTCGCACTTTATTCAAGTCATGTTTGTTTCCAACACGCTTCCGAGCTTAATCAAGTAGGTTTAAGCTTCTTTTTTTCAAATATTTATTTTTTGAGGATTTTCTAGCTTTGTTTTAAGATTGCAGTAGAGATTTAGTGGTGAATCAGTTGCTGTTCTTTCAGTGGGAGGGTTTTGTTCCATATAATCAATCCTCCATTAGTTTATTGGCAATCTTTCCTTCTGCACTTGTCGGGTTCCCTCGACTCCCTCCCATGTAAGAGTCCCCCCTCTCTCTCTCTTAGTGTAAGCTGCAACGAATGAGTATCCTTTTCTCCCTGTGAATGTTAATGTTTCATGATATATCTTTTTTAAAAATGCAATATGCAGGTGTGATTGAAGAGACAAAAAACAAAAGGACAGTGAATCTCAATCCAGTGTGGGATGGACATTGAAAGCAGAACAAGGGTCCTGTATGTTACACGTTGGACTCTCTTACAAAGTACAATACAGTCTACTCACATACAAAGGTTATGGCTCTGTCAAGGTTACATACTACACGAGAGGGAAGATTACCACAAAGTAAACAAGATAACAGAGTTAGTGGGAAAAAAACGTAGATTATACATACTCTATTCACTAGTGTTAAGAGAGAGAGAGAGCCCCTTTTAAAGTAATGGTGGGTCTTAAACCGCAGCAGAAACCATGGCTGGCGATAGAGCTGGGAATCCATCATCATCATCATCGTCGTCATCATCTGCCTCCCACATGAAGTGTGCATATGATCCCAGTACCATACTGCAACAAATACCAATTCCAACCACACAAAATAAACTGTTATCGCCTTTGAATCACATAAATAACCAGTCATCATCCATGCATGAAATCGAATTCGAACGAAGATCAAAGGTACCAGTCATCGGGAGAGGCATTGACGGCTTGGTCAAAGTACCCTTTGGCTCTTTCCTCATCTCTCTCCGTCTCCCATATCAACTTCCCATACATCGTCAACGCTTCTCCATCCCCTGGCCTCTCCATTATCGCTCTTCCATAGTACTCCTCCGCTCTCTCTGCGTCTTTCTCCACCTGTATTCATCCCCAAAAATTCCCCTCAACTTCCTCCAAATTCGATTTCACATCCCCACCAGAATCTACAGGTGATCTGATCTACCTACCTCGTACAAGAATCTCCCATAGTTCATCAGGAGAAGTGAACTGTTCGGGTTGGATTTCAACATTTCCCTGTAATACTCCCCGATCTTGCTCCTATCGTTGTAATCGCCTCCTCTGCTCGAGTTTCCACTACTGCCGCTGTCGCCGGGGCCTCTACCGGATCCACCGCCGGAGAGCCCCATCTCCTCCACTGGAATACCGCTCTCCTTCAAGATCAACGATCCCCAACCATACGGGACATCCGCCGCCTCCTCCGAAATTCTAGCCGGCGAAGGCTTGAATCCGGCACTACTCCGCGGCATTCTCTCCGATATGATGACGTCACTCTCCGAAAATGCCCTCCGCATCCCGACGTGCGTCGCCGGGGACTGATCGGAGGACCTGACGTTGAGCGAGATCCTGGAGGCGGATCTGTCGCCGTGGCCGGAGAAGGATTCTCCGAACGAATTATGGCGGGAGATAGAGGTCTTGGACGAACCCGAGACGAACCGTTGGTGAATCGGCATCGAACCGGCCCTCATCAGAAATGCTCTCATTTCGAAATCTCTCTCTTTCTCTCTGGGAGGTGATGATCAATCCATTGATAACAGAGCTCTCCTCTTCCCCATATATAGCTTTATCTCCACCGTCCAATCGTCTGACTTTCTCTCAGTGATAACGCACTTCAAGATTCAATCTGAGCCGTCGGATTGGGTAACCGCGAGGAGGAGAGACATCAATGGGATTGCGACACGTGTGAAGGATGCACGTGAGAATGAAGACTTTGAGATGGCGCCACGGGAAGGGCGTGATCGAGCGCTGTGGAGATGACACGTGGAGAGATGAAAGGTGGGGCCTCGTTGAGATTGTTCGGGTCCTTCGTACTTGGGTAAGTCAAAAAATACTCGATAGATCCTGTAGATAAGCTGAAATGACGGAAACACCCTTCACGTTCTATTGGCGCGTCGACAAAAACATAACGGTGTGCTAAACTAACCAAAATGGAACGCAGTTTTCTAAAACGTGTGAAATAGTCAAAAAGAAACTAGAAAGTCACACGAGTTGAGTGATTTGAGCTTCGGTTTTTCTAAAAATATTGACTAAAGATAATACAGATCTTATTTTTGGAAAATACTGAGAGTTTATCCAAATATCTTCCAAAACTTCTGTTTTTTTTTTGTTAAAGAACCTATGTATATTTTACATATAATATATATATATATATAATTATCATTTGTTGGTTGTGTAGACAATAAAAAAATTATATATAATGTAGACAACATTGATAATTGAATAGGGTGCGAAAAAAAAACATTGAGAATTGAATTGAATGTTTTATTCTTTTAATTGTGGATAAAAAAGTATTTTGCAAATGGATCGCGATCTCGCAAGAAGACATCTTTTTCTCTGCATTTTTGAGGAGTTGGATACAATATAGTTATGATTGGCGATTCTTTTGATAAGATAGGGTTTTAAAAAACCTAAAATACCCATAAAATATGTCATCCGTGCCGTGGTTTTGGAGAGAAAAATGATAAAATAAATAATGAAATGTGACAAAAAAAAGTTGCGTTGACGTGGGACATTTCGTCGTGTGGTGCGTCGAACCCACGCGCCGTTCGCGGCAAGAAAAGTGGATCTCGGCAATGGAAAGACACAAAAGACCTTGGAACTGCTCTAAATCAGCTGCAACTGGTTACTTCAGAAAGACGACAAACCTAAGCCGCCACCCATGTGACCATCACGTGACCAACTCTCTTGCTCTTTTTTTTTTTTTTTTTTTTTTGAAACCCTTTGTTGGTTTTCATCCTCAATAAATATCACTTGGCAATTTGATCTTACACTACAAGGCTCCTTCAATCAAAGTCTACCCTTGACAATGCGTTGTCAGAACAAAAACAAAACAGAGGCTATTGTTTCTTCTTTGCCTTGGAAGCTGATGACTTGGAACTCTGAATCTCATCTACTTTAGATGTTCTGATTATAAACAGAAGCGTCTCAACAAGCATCCCCAAAACCAGACCAAGAACTCCACCAGCAGCGCTCTGCAACCAAAAAGAAAAACACTGAAAAATGAAAACCGAAACACGATAATCCTTAACTGATGTGTTCATTTTCTGTCCAAAGAATGGTAATCGAACGGGCCAATGAGAAGAACTGATACCATTGCTGCATTACGGTTGAACAGAGCTCTGAAAGTAGCGTATCCAAGCAAATATCCGGTGAACATTACAAGAGCAACGTGTAGACCTGTACATCAGGGATTGCCGAGGATATATTCAGTATCTAACGAGGTACTTACTTCTCAAGAAACTAAGCTCAGAAACCCGCGAGTTTCAGGGGAAAAGCAAACTGCTAACCGAAACCAAGCTGGTCTTTGTAAGAAGAGAAAGGCTCTTCGACATTCTTCTTTGGTGTTATATCCTTAACAAGCTCTTGGTACTCTCTTCTCTCTGCTAATTCTCTGAGTTTCTGCAGTCTCTTCTGTAATTCTTCGCTCTACGACGGTAAAAAACAAGATCAGAGAAACATTAAGTCCTCTCGCCTCTCCAACGCAAGAAACAAAAAGCCTAAAACCCAGTTGTCCAGAATTCAACCAAAGGAACACAGAAGCATAACGAGATTTCTTTCACGACTTCCCTATTTTCTCAACAGCCGAACCAAAGCACATGGAACCAAATTTCGATATCTGGAGCTACAGTACCAAACTCGAAAAACTTAATCAAGCACAGCCAAACTATGAATACTTGCACAGAAGAACACAGAAAGGAAATTGTAACAAGATTCGCTGTTATGTTGCCCAATTTTGTTGGAAGAGCATCACATAACTACTGCCTCTTTTCTTTTTTGTTGGAATTTCAAATTGATCAACCCTAAAAACTATAGCTACTGTAAAAAGAAAAAGAAAAACAGAGGAATGATCACAAAAATCAAGAGGGAAAAAGAGGGAAAAAAAACAGAAGAAGGTTGTTTACCCTGTCTGCAACTACAAGAGGAGAATAGGTTGACTATAAGATATCATGAAAATCTATTTGCTATTGCTACATGGAAAAACTAGACGATCATTGAGGAAATTTTCTCTGATTGCCTAATGCCTAATTGCATATTTGCCGCTAAAAATTCCAACAAAAACGAAGTTACATCACCCAAAAATTCTGACACTTGGGTAAGATAGAGCCCACAGACTGACCGGAGATGCGATGAATTTCCTCATACTCAGCCTAATTATCAGAAAAAACGCAAACACAAAGCCGACACAGACAGAATCGAAGGAAAACCATGAACCAGAACAAACCTATACAGATCTCCGCTTACCTTTTCTCTAGGTTTCGGACTGGTAAAGACGAAATCGGCGCCGTTGAAGAGTCCCAACAGGTCCGGTCGGGTCGAGGGATCGGATTCAGCCCATATAGCTCGGAACAATTTGTACGGAACAGCGTTCTTCGAGCGCAGATCTGAAGCGATGTCCCTGAGTTCGCCGGAGAGACGACGATCTCCGGAGGCCGATACGAGGAACGATTTCATCGGTTGAGTGGCAGCGATCATCAAGCCGGAATCCATGTCTGCCCGGGTCGGGTCCAAATCCGTACACTCTCTTCGTAAGAAAGTTACGAATGGCTTCTGCACGATCTTCACCGGCGTCAAAAATTATATTCGGACTAATAACACTTTACCCCCTATATTTTTTAAGAATGTCGAACCAGTATGTATACTTTACTTTATTACGGAATAGCCCAATTTATAAACATAATCCCATACGGTATGATATAGTAAGCCAAAACATATGTTGCTGTCGCTTGGATTTTATCTTCTAATGTTGAAAATCAGTCTTTCATTTTCTGAAAATATAAACAAGATCCGATTTTCTGAAACGCCAACACCCAACACTGTTCGGACAAAAGGGGACGAGGAAAAGATCAGATTTTCTGCTTAGTTTTTTGAAACTCCACATCCGGTCTTAAAGCCCATCAGTTCATTCGCCTAACCCAGTTCCCAAATTGCCTGATTTTGTGTGTCTCCGAGCCGACTCTGCGGAATCCTAGCTTCCAGCAAGCAAATACAGGAGGAAGTTATTGACTATATGCAGTGATTTTCTCGAATCCCGGTTGGAACGCAAATTCAGGTTCTTCTATCGATCATTTATGTCCGGTCGAGTTGATTTCGAAGGATGGTTCGTGGGTTTATGAGATTTTCGGGATTATCGAGGAGGCTATTGAATATATGCGTTGATTCTCTCTGTAAATTCCGGAACTTGGAGAAAGCTGAGTCGCTAATCATAGACGGCATTAGATTGGGTGTTCTTCCTGATGTCGTAACTTACAATACACTGATCAATGGGTACTGTAGATTTGTCGGGATTGGCAAGGCTTATGATGTAGTTCGTCGCATGAGAGAAGCCGGGATCAGGCCCGATGTCGCGACGTATAATTCCTTGATCGCAGGAGCAGCTAGGAAACTGATGTTGAATCGTGTCCTTGAACTGTTCGACGAAATGCGTCTGTCGCATATATCTCCCGATCTGTGGAGTTACAACACTTTGATGTATTGCTACTTCAAGCTGGGAAAGCCCAAAGAAGCATATCGGATTCTTTCCGAGGATATTCAGCATTCCGATCTGCCCTTTGGCGCCGACACAGTCAATATCCTGCTTGATGGTCTCTGCAAGAACGGTTATACTGACAACGCCATTATGCTGTTCAGACAGTTGCAGCATGATGGCTTTGTCCCTCAGCTCATAACTTACAACATTCTCATCAATGGACTCTGCAAATCCAGAAGGGTCGGTTCTGCGAGAAGGATGATGAGGGAACTCGAGAGGTTGGGTTACACTCCCAACGTCATTACATACACCACAATCATGAAATCCTATTTCAAGACACGGCGGATCGATCAAGGGCTTTGTCTGTTCCAGGAAATGAAGGACAGAGGGTATACATATGACGGGTATGCGTACTGTACAGTTGTTAGCGCTTTGATCAAACTAGGGAGGAAAGAAGAGGCTTATGATTATATGCTGCAGCTGGTGAGGAGCCGTAGAAAGCAAGATCTCGTGTCGTACAACACGTTATTGAATCTATACTGTAAAGACGGAGACTTTGAAGCTGTACATGATCTGTTGAACGAAATGGAGGAAAAGGGACTAGAAACCGATGAATACACACACACGATTATCGTGGATGGTTTGGCAAAGGCAGACAACATAGAAAGAGCAGAGGACCACTTGGTTTACATGAAGGCAACAGGGTTGGGATCAAATCTTGTTGCCTGTAACTGTCTGGTCGATGGTCTGTGCAAAGCTGGACATGTGGACCGGGCCATGAGTTTGCTTGAATCGATGGAGATGAAGGACGATTATACGTACACGACCATTGTACACAATCTCTGCAAAGCTGGGCAGTTCAAGTGTGCTGCTAAGCTGCTCTTGTCGTGTTACAAGAACGGTAAGAAGACGCCGAGATCGGCTAGACGAGCTGTATACTGTGGTTTGAGAAGATTAGGGTTTAGATCCAGAGTGAAGAAGATTCAGGCCAAAATAACTGTTGCTGGCGCTTTGAATTCATGTTTTCAGAGATCCTGATTGAGTGGAAAGTGAAATGTGAATGGTGATGTTGTTCTCCTGCTGTCTGAAAATGTAACATGATATTGGACAAATTTTTTAGTTTATAATCGATCATAAATTCCGATCATGAGGTTTCCTTTGAACCATACATGTATGTATGTGTGTGTGATAATGATAATGATGCATATTCTTATGCTATAAGTGAATTCACATCTTCAAAAGACGTAGTAGTAGATATGGAGACTTCATTTCCCAAAACTACCCTTCGACGGGTCATCAAATAACATGAATGCCACCCACTCTCTGTGCTGTTGTGTGTTTGAGAAGAAGACTAAAAAGGTAATTAACTATTAGGTTTTGGTTTTGCCTCCAAGAAGTCTCGCTATCTTCACTAATAATAATGACTGCATATATCTTTTTAACTTTATTTTTTTTCTTTGTTGACCATTAAAAAAAATGCCAAAATGTGGAGCCAACTCTTGGATCTTGCTTTTGATTATATAAGGACTATATATAATGGTATATATATATGTATACATTATCTTTATTACATATGTATTATGTTTTCCCATGGATGAATGCTTGTTATCTTCGGCACAAGTACTCAACAAACATTACAAAGATAACATGCCATTGAATTGCAATTATGAACTAAAAAACCCAACCAGATGAATTGACAGATTAAAACGGTGGATTTATAAATCAATTTATAATACAATGGTAAATTTTAAGAGTAATGTTCGCTGTTTCCCATTCTTTAATACCAAAATTTATACAAAAAACGATAAATATATCTACAAAATAGTATCTCCATATAATATATATATATATATATATACCTTTTGTTTTTTGCTTCAATGACAAGAAACAGGGATGATCGTGAAAAGGGGAATATATGCCGCATGAAACAGAAGCCAAGATTGTATTGAGATTTGAGAATAAGGAGTAAATATTGTCATGTGGGTCTTCTTCGTTAGATTTATTTCCTTTTTTATTTAATTTTGTCCATTGGAGACCACGTATCATACATGTGCATGGACTGCCCATGCATACACACGTATATATACTGATATGATTTTCCAATATTAATCACAATCTTAGTCAACAAGCCAATTATGCCCTCGAAAGAGAACAAGGTTATAAAGAAAAAGATAAAGAGCAATTACCGCATCAAAAGAAAACAAAAGTGAGAGACAAAAGCAAGACTTGTCTGTGAGAGACAGCAGGAGTCGCCTTGTTCAAGATATTATCTCCCAACAAAGAGAAATCTCTCTCCCCCCTCTTATATGTCCTTCAGATTATACACTCTCTCCACTTCTTGAATTCCATCATATATACTCCTTGTTCATCTTTCTGTCATATCAATTCTTCATATATCCTTTCTGTTTAATCTCTCTTTCATGGCCACTGGTTCAAATTCAGACACTTGGGCTCAGAACATCAACTCACAGGACTGCTCGCAAGGCTTTTGCTCCATATACTGCCCTCAATGGTGTTACATCATCTTCTCCCCTCCACCTCCACCTTACGATCTCCCAAACGACGACGTCTCATCTAACCCTAATCTCTCCCCTCTCGTCATCTCCATCATCGGGATCTTGGCAAGCGCCTTTCTCTTGGTAAGTTACTACACTCTCATCTCTAAATACTGCGGAAACGCGACGGAGTTTTCGGGGATCGAGAGAAGTGATCGGAATCTCGATGAATCGGCCGAGAATTCGGTCGAAAACCGAAACCCTTTTGCCCATGAGCCTCCAAACGCCGGTTTAGACGATGCCCTCATCAAACTGATCAGACATTTCAAGTACAAGAAGCAAGATCGGCTTGTGATCAACACTACCGATTGTTCCATCTGTCTGGGAGAATTCAACGAAGAAGAGAGCCTAAGGATATTGCCGAAATGCAGCCACGTGTTTCACGTTGCGTGCGTCGACCGTTGGCTAAAGTCTCACTCTAACTGCCCGCTTTGTCGGGCGAACATAACAGTGCCCACGCAAGAACTCGACCGTTTCGCGATGAATCTGGACAGAGGGTCAGTTGAAGGAAGAGAAGTGATAGTGGAAGAGACATCGAGGATGAACACGAACACGTTTCATCGGCTCGTGTCGTTGCCGAAGCCAACGAGTGTTCGTGCATTTGTCGATCCAGACAAGGGAGATACGGTCATAGAGATCAGGAGGTCTGCTTCTGTTGATTTCATTTCTTATTTTCCTCGGCAACTTTCAGTGGCTGATGTCCTGAGGATGAACGAAGAGGACGAAGAGTGTTCAGATCTTGGAAACCCTACTTCGATCAAAAGATCATTCTCCAGCGGTGGAATGTTTCTTGGGGCCCAAGGAAGAATAAGGCCACCCCGACATCCACCTGTCTGACACTCTTTTTTTTTAAACACCGACACATTTTTTTCCACATATATATATATATATATATAAAGAGATTATAGACACAAAAAAAAAGTCACTGGATGGTGATGATTCTGAAATTCAAGAAACCTTGACTTCTTCGGTTGTCTCAGTTCCAGTTTCTTGATTATCTATGTCTATACGTGCATGTATATGTATGCCATAACATGTGAAATGACAGGTTTTGCGTTGTGTTTTGATTTATATTTGTTAGAAATATTCATTTTTTTGATACATGCAAGGGGATAGATACAATATCAAAGATTGGAATGACACATCCTGTTTATACAATGAAAGTAAGGACAGAAGATGAGAGCAACGAAATTCACAAAAGGCAGAAACTTTATTACTTAGAAGATTATTCCATTTCCAAGTGTATGATTAGGGCACTTCCTCTTTCTACCCTATTCAGATACAAATTTACAGAAGAAGAAGACAAACATTACCTTCAAAGCCCACTGCTTTCTGTCTTATTCCCACTTTTGCCATCCTACGAAGCCCATACTCCCCTATCTAGAGCTTTCTTGCATCACATAAATATACATCACATGTATATATACACACACATACATACATACATACATACATACATACATACATACATACATACATACATACATATACGGCCCCTTCTAACACATCGACAGTAGTCCTTTTTGGGTATGACAAAGCTAAGCGCTTCTGTATAAGCTAAACCCTTTTGTGTGTATATATATATATGTATATATCAGGAAGAAACTGTGTGTGATGGATCCATGTAAGAAGATTTTATCCCATCGGAGATCGGTGAGGAATTCCCTTTCTTCGTTTGGCAATCCTGTAATTACCAGATGTAAGTGGGGGTGTTGATGGACTGAAACTCTGAAGATTCATCATGTTCTTCACTTGCCCTGTGCTGCTGCCCGACTCCTCTGGTTCCATCCGCGGGTTCTTCTTACTCTTCTGGAAGCTTCGAGACGTTCCCACGATCTTGTTTTTGTTCCCAAAACATAAAAGTTTTATCAGAATTTGAATTTCATTCATAAGACTGAAAATATGGAAAACAAACAGAGTATGCCCATGTCGGAAATTCCTTCCGTTTTGCCACCAAACTCAACAACTGACCAGTTGAGATGCCATGAGAAGCAGGAACTCTCTGATCAAGAAAACTACGTCTCTAAAACGTGCAAGAAAGAGAAGACGGCATTCAAAGTTTCCTACTTTTTTCACAGCAATCAAACAAGATTTTTACTGAATTACCACCAAGAATAGCCAGTACACGAAACCTGAAGTATTAGAAGAGGAAAAAGACGAGACCCCGAGACTAAAGTTTCGATCTTTTCTTGGTAACCAAACCAAACAGCAGTAATCGAATGCAGTCAAAAGCTGAGAAAGCGTCTTCCTTTTCTTGGCAGCCAAACATGTTTTTGTACTAAAACGTTGGCAAAGTTTGAACCTTTCTCTCAATTACAGAGCATGATCAGAGAGCTACAATGGACAAAAGAGAACAAGAATGTACCTTGCAGCCAAGGGAGCAGAAGCCGAAGCAGTCATCAACAAGGCTGCGGTAGCAGACATCACAGGTATTGGTCACGCCTTTTCCGGGCCTAGGCTGAGGCCTCTCGTTCAAGAACACGACCTTTGCACTGTTGATTACATACGTCTGCACTCCCGATATGTCCAGATACTTTTGTATCTCATTGACCCGTATCACGTCATGATATGAAGACCTCCTTATCTGCAATAGAACCCACAAATGTCAACAAAAAACATCTTAAAAATCTTACCAGAATCTGTGAGTGACACATGCTCTCTCTCGATGTAACTCAGACAATATCTCATAGTAGAGAATGAGAAACCGAAAACAAATGCGAAATAGCAAAGGGTTTTCTTGTAATTGTTGATCGAAAGAGAAACTGACCCCGGATCCAGAGTTGAGGAAATCGACATGAACGTATATATACATGTGAGCAAGATTTCGGATAATCATCCATCAACCAGAGAGACAAGTGGGAACAGTTTGAAAACACAGTTCAGACAAGAGATTTTACCTGAATGGTGCGATGATCCTTGTGATGGGAGAGGCAGACAGAGCAAAGGGGGCCGTTCGTGCAGTCTAAGCAATACATATTGCATTCGCTCTTGTGAGAGTCGGTATGAAACTTGCACTGAACAAAGAAATGCTCTTTCAGCAAAGGCTTCAGCCATGGCGGCCACTGGTTCTCCTCCCCTTCCGGTCCGCCGGCTCCCTAACAAAAAAAAATACAACACCTTGTTCATCATCCAAAAAAACAATAGAAAGCTTGGATTTTCAAATTTTACCAGAACATGAGCAAAAATATTTCAACTTTCCAAGAAAACAACATAGGCATTTGGTGTTTAGCATTTATACTGCAGGCCCTAGAGAAGAACAGAGAGCAAATTCGCCACAATACCATTGAATTTATAGAAAACCAAATTTTCTTTATCAAACCTATTAAGCATATATTCAGTAATACCAGATGTTCAATGACTTTTCTGGATCCATATGCTTTGCAGTATCATACATTTATAATCGAACCGAACCAAACCCAAACCGAAAACCGAAATGACCACCAGATTATTCGTCTTGCTGTATAAGTTTCAAATTTGATTCTGTCTTTTTATTATTCAAATTAAAGCTTTCAGGAAAGGCAAAACATGGGAGGAATCGAATATCAGACAGCCAATCCAGTTGAAGAAAGAGCGTGTTTTTCTTATTGTTCTTATTCGCATTAAACCCAGAAATATTCCATATTCTTGTTCGCCATTTCACTAATACAATTACTATTTCACAGATTTTGCGAGTTGGATTTGGTATATTTACCTAAGAAACCCTATTCTATTAACCAAGTTATCGGAAGCTTCTGGTTTTGGTTCTCAATAAAAATATCATATTTACTGAATCGAGCACGAGGAGATGCGAATTCAAAAGAGCATTGTTCTAATTCTTCGATAAAGATGAAAGCGTTGTTCATCAAATAAACAAAACAGAGCAACCTCAGGGGGAACCCGAACTAGAACACGTTTTAAAGCAGACAACTTTTTCAAATTTCAAGCAAAACCCAAATCGAGAAATCGAAAATAAATGAGGCAAACTCGAAGAAAAGACATAACTAATAAGAACAACGAAACCAGAGAGTCGGATGGATTTCAGAGGGGAAACAGAGTATGTGGAGCAGAACATAACTCAGAAAAAAAAAACAGATGACAAAGACGGATATAATCTGAAACACGAAGGCTAAAACCGAACCGAAATGCAGTGATTCAGAGGGGATATATGTTCGAAATACCATGATTCTCCTGTTCTTAGGCTTGATTTCTCTGATCGTGTTTTCCTGATCCTCGATCGCCATTTCCTCAGAAACTCAATGCGGCGAAAAAGCTGGGACTTTTTAACTTCAGGTGGGAATTTTTGTAAGAGGAGAGAAAGGGTTTTAGAGAGAGAATCTGAGAAAGGGTTTTGAGAGAGAGAGATGATTTCTGGGAGAGAAGGGGTTAGAGAGAGAGGAGAAGAGGAGACGGAGCAGAGAAAGAGTCGTTCTTATCCGCACAAAGTCGACACCTAAGATGCGTCGGGTTCAAGGAACCCTCCTGAGCCTTTCCTTATAAATTTCCCTTAATTTTCAATTAATAACATATATAAATATATATACACACAAAAATTTTAATTTTGGTTGTACCCTTTCTGCCCTCCTTTGGTCTTATCTGATTATATGCCACTTTCCTCCTGAAAACCTAAATCCGGTCCAATTTTATTCCATGTTTTTCGATTATTTATAAAAAAAAAAATTATTGGCACCACATTTATTGGTTGTTGGGAGAGTGGGCTTATTGTGTTAGATATTCGAAGTCGCCATTGTTATTGCCCCCATTATTGCAATTGACATCTCATCTCCATCCCTTAATTCCATTATATGTTTCTTTGTTTTAATTTTTATTTTTTTTGTTTGCATTGAAAAATTTAAAAACTAAACTATTTATATTAATGTTATGTGATTATTAAACTATATATTATTCCGTCTATAATTTTTTCTGTTTACTAATTCGTACGTTTTTGTCTTAATTAATTTGAATCCTACATCATCCATCATTATACAACATTAAACTAACTTTGAGCCCACCCGCACACACAATGATGCAACTTTCATTTTATTTTATTTAAATTGGGAAAGCATCTTGACGTTACATCCCACATCATACTTGTCGACATATATATATCCCATATGAGTGTGTCTGTATTTATATTTATATTATATCCATGTGTAAGTGTATGAATTAGTTGTAAAATAAGTTGTTATTATTGTTATTATTACACCAAAACCAAAATTAATTAATTATAGCAGAAATGTATGATGCAAATGAGGGTTGTATATAGCTTTGTCGTGAGCTATAAAAGGGGACGACAAACTCATTAATTGGATTACCTAATCCACGTATGGTTGTTTGTACTTTCATATAAAGAATAGAAAATTATGTGTATATGTGTATGTGTGTATATATATATATATATATATATTTAGGTCAAAAGGTGGGTGGTGATTACATATTGAGGCTTTGGCACCTTTTGTAATATGCTTTTGAGTTTGGCTTCGTTTCCAATTTTAATTAGGGAAATAAAGATAGCAAAGTTCTCTCCTAACTATTCCAACATGCATCACTTGACAAGGCAATTCTATGTAATAAATTAATAATACCGCCCATTGATACGCGCATACATACATACATACATACATACATACATACATACATACATACATACATACATACATACATACATACATACATACAAGGTAGATAGAATTCAATGATCTCACTACATATGTTTCGAGACAATTTTTATTCTATAAATGCTACATATATACCTTTCAAATTTTAGAAAAAAAAAGGTTAAACGATATTTAAGATGGAAATATAAGTCTTATATATATATATATATGATCAAAGGGGAATTGTATTATTTTGGGAGGTTTTTTTTTGGTTAATTTTGGGAGGTTATTAGCTTATTCGAATTTCAAGCTCTTTGGTAGGCCAATGGGTTATAGGTATTATATATATATATCGAGAAATCACTACCATGCATGCATGAAACATGCAAATACGAATTGTTGGCCCAATGACGATCATTGCTCCTGCCTCAAGAACCACACACCGTATGTATGCGGGTTTGTATTTAAAAACCCTAAAGCGTGTATCATAAAATATAATAAAAGAAACATAATATATCAACGTCATGATAACAACATCTTATGTCCATTTGTCATGCATGATGAAAGCTAGGGGACGATGTCAAATTTCTTTTCATAAAAGTTTTGAAATATTTTGGCTTTTAATTACTAATCTATTTTTGGCATGATTCATCTTTCTAGTTAAACGTTAAAGACTTTAAAATCAAATCGTTATAACAATAATTTTAATTACTCTAGAATACACGACATTTATGGTAAACCCTAGATTTTGTTCCTGGATTTTTGTATACTATAAGTCAATTATCAAATTCAGATAACAATAAAAATTTGATGAGATTCCAAGAAAGTGTTAGTGGAATTTCGTATTAGCCTAATGGGATGGGAGTGAATGATGGTACTTTCCCTGCCCCATCACCACCAACTTGATATTTTTACTTTTCCGGTAAATAATCATTTCATTCAAATATATTTATTTTATAATATAAATTTAATAAATTAAAGTGGGAAGATTTTATAGTGAAGTGTGCACTCGTATTCATAAAGTAGAGATCCCACAACAAGTCTACTATATATTATATTTTTCTATTGTCCATTGACTTTGAGGAACCCGTCCTCCATCTTGACTTTTATGTGAAAACCAAAGGGAAAATCATATAGATCTTCTCAAACTAATGTGTTACATTTTTGCAGTAATATATAATATATATATCTATATTTGGTATGATATATATATATATATATAAAAGTGAAGCTCGTATATAAATATCTAAAAGTTTATAAAAATTTCATATAAATATCTGAATTGTAAAATTTCTATATAAATATTTGAATTTTTTTAAAATTCTATATAAATATCTAAACTTTTGAAAAAATTTCAAATAAACTCAAAATCCGTTAATGACACCACCTATTTTTATTTAAAAAATTCATAAAAATTTAAAAGTTTAGGTGTTTATATAAAATTTAAAAAATTCAGATATTTATAAAGAAATTTTATGGTTCATATATTTATATGAGATTTTCGTAAAAGTTTAAGTATTTATATACTATTTTATATATAATGATAAAAACTTTGTATATTTCGTTTCTTTAATGACTTTCAGTAATTTTTTTTAATAAAGTGGAAAAGTAAATTATGTTCAGCTTCTTCAATCAAAAACTCAAATGTGAAAAGTGTGAACACAAGCTATTCGTCATTCATTGAAAATTATTATTAAATTGAAACAGATGGGCAAGGCACGCCATATCTGACCCTGAAGGCACATAGGACAAATACATCCATGCCTTGGGTGGGTCCATGGCCCATTATTCTTCATTTATATTTGATTCTCTTATTTTAGATATTTAATTTTTTTTGGTAAAATTTTTAGATATTTAATTGCGTAACCTATATATAACTTTTATTAAGAAATATCCATCCAAAGCGTAGTGCGCAGCATTGAGCGTGGGTACCAAAAGATAAATGCCCTTTGCGAGAGATGTCACAAAAAAAAAAGTTAAAATTATAATGCGGTTGTTTTACTTGTAATTGCACGAGTAAATTATTTAAGTCACAGAAAATTTATTTAAATGAAATTTCAAAATCGTATCATTTTTTATATGGAAACTGTCATTATAAGATTCATAACAATAATTTAAATAAATTACGCTAATCGATTCAAATCTTAAATATTCATGCGCGAGAAATCTTCTAGGGATGGCCATTTCGATTATTAACCGAATAACCGAATCGAACCGAACCGAATAAGAGCGGTTCGGTTCGATTCGGTTATTTGCTTAATAACCGAACGGTTGAGGAAGTTGAATAACCGTTCGGGTTCGGTTCGGTTAATAACCGAATAACCGCAGTTAACCGAACGGTTATTGAGTTTTTGTAATATTTTAATTTTTATCCTCATTATTATTAGTATTATTTTTTTATACTTCACTTTTAACCTTATATATTTCACCCAATAAACCATAAAATGTAATGTTTTTAACTTTTATCCTAATTATTGAAGTTTTTACATTTTTTTATAATTTTATTTTTACATGATTAATCATTTTGTGCATTTATTTAAATAGATATTTTGAAATTTATGTAGGATTAATAATTTTTTTAAAAAAATATATCATAACCGAACCGAACCGATCTAAAACCGAACCGAATAAACCGGAAAATATAACCGTTTGGTTATAATTTTATTATGCAAAAACCGTACCGAACCGATTAAATCTATATAACCGTTTGGGTATGATTTTTTTATAACCGAAATAAGCGTACCCGAAATAACCGAACCGAAAACCGAACCGAAACCCGAAATGGTCACCCCTAAGCACAAGGAGTGTTCATTCAGTAGAATTATATGACTAGATTTTGTTAAAAACAATCAAAAGAGACGCTGATACACGGTTTATTTCAAATTTAAATCGATTTATTAATTGGTTAGTCTTTTAAAAAAAATCATATTGACTTAATTAGTGGGATGTTTGACGTTCAATTATTGGTTTAGAAGTGGTCAAACTGAACCGGACGAACCGGTAGAGTGAACCGGCCAAGAGACTCGAGCTTCCGTTCGCGTCTGTCCCCCCCCCCCAAAACGTTGACCGCTGACTGAGCATTCCAAGTCTACTGTACGGAAACCCTCGAATTATCATTCGCTTGCCTTTGTACGGCATTTCCATTTAAGACAAATCATTCCAAATTCCATTCATAAATTAAACTAAATATCATTAAAAATCAAAACAATATTCACATGTTTTGTCAAGATCTTTTCAAAAAACTAGAATTATTAAAGCGATTTGTTTTGTTTTGTGGTTAGAGCATCGTAATTGTCCGAACAACTTGCAAGTTGGGACAAATGAAACGTATTAAAAAAAAATAATATAATGTACAGAACCATATATTTTTCAAATTTCAGGACCAACTTGCAGGAAACCCCCTTTGTCTTTTTGTATTTGTTTTAGCTAATATTCCTCCTCGTGCCAAAAACGTTAACCTATAAATATCACCAAAAATATCATTATTAAATTATAAATATCTTCGAATTCTGTACTCGTATTCCACGTTCATAGTCTCAATTTATTGCATGATGGGCCCCCCAAAAAAAGGTGGGTCCAATTTCTGTCCCATAACGTGTAATATGGGTTTTTAAAGTTATTTAAACAATTTGGGCCCAAGCCCAATAAATAATGTAAGCCCAAAGTGAGAAAGATCGTATAATTTGACCCAACCCATCAAACTTCTAACAACTCGCACGTGCGATAGGCCCAGGTTTTTAGCCCTGTCGCTGATGAAATCAAGGGTTTTGCCTCTTCTTCCTCCGATTGAATCGGTTTTCTTCGAAATCGTCAAGTGATAATTCATAGTTACCAGGTTTTCCCACATGGGTATTGCTCAAAATTCAAAATTGTTGAAATTGTCAAGTGATAATTCATAATAATAAATACATACATACATACATACATACATACATACATACATACATACATACATACATACATACATACATACATACATACATACATACATACAAACAAGGTATATAGGGTAGATAGAATTCAATGATCTCACTACATATATATATATATATATATATATATATAACAAAGTTTGTGGTTCGTAGCATGTGGTTATATATATCTACATGTATACGTGTATTATATACACCGACCAAATCTCATTTCTCATTATGAAAAGAGTGTGATGTGATCCTATAAAACTCAGAAATGAAACTCCAAATGATAATAGGATGGCTTCCAAGTGTTGAGATTTAATTAGTGAAGAAATTTTGTTCCGAGGCAAATGTTAATTAAGCTCCATTAGTGTGTGTATATATATATATATATATGTGTGTGTGTGTGTGTGTATTACAGGTGTCACACCATATATCAATATCAAATCAAACATATATAAATATATCCCAAGGTCTCTCCTTCGTGTATAGCTTATACCAAACATGATACTGTGACGTGTAGCATAATCAAGATTTGCATGATCCAAGATGAAGACGTGCTTTTGTACATATTTTGAAGTATTAGTGAGGGATCAAATATTTTGAACTAGTTGGTTATATATATATATATATATATATATAACAAAGCAAGAGAGTAGAAATTGACTCACCATTATGAAGAGATGAATTAGGGTTTTAGGTGAAAGTTTACGAATAAACAAACCGGATTGATTTGGTTATGGGGTTTAGAGCAGGCAGTTAGAGGCTTTGGTGAAACATGGAGGACAGCCCGAGGCACACCCACTTACTATTCACATAGTGATACTGTATACAATGCATATAAAATATATATACATATATATATATATGGAAATGCAAACCATCGCTTTTAGATTAACGTCCCAATCATTGAAAATGGAGATATAATAAAGAGAATATATATTACTTCAACATGTGTCCTCTCAACCACCCTTTTTTGCAATGAAAAAACGCGGCTTTGGTCCCTAACCCCAACGCTACAAATACCCCTTTCGAGCCTTTCCATTTTCGTCAACCAAACACTTTCCAAAAATGGAAACTCACACTCACTACAAAGCTCTCTCCACACTCTTCTTTCTCGTACTCGGTCTCGGCGTTTCCTACGCCACCAGCCGCACCCTCCTCACCTACGACGTTCCCTACTACGCCGGCGCCGGCGGCGAAGGTGGTGGCTCTGGATACGGAGGCATGGACGGGTACGGCAGTGGTGGAGGTGGCGGCCATGGCGGTGGCGGAGGATCTGCATACGGTGGTGCCGGTGGGTATGCTAGTGGTGGCGGTGAAGGTACAGGAGGTGGGTACGGTGGAGCCACCGGCGGATACGGTGGTCATTCCGGCGGAGGAGGTGGCGGTAGTGGAGGCGGCGGTGGAACCGCCTATGGCGGCGGAGGAGAACACGCTGGTGGTTACGGAAGCGGTAGCGGAGCTGGATACGGTGGAGCAATTGGTGGGTACGGCGGCGGAGGTCATGCCGGCGGTGGAGGTGGTGGCAGTGGCGGAGGAGGTGGCGCTGCGTACGGTGGTGGAGGAGAGCATGCAAGTGGTTACGGAAATGGGGGCGGTGAAGGTGGTGGCGGCGGTTTAGGTGGAGGAGGTGGATGCGCGTACGGTGCCAGCGGCGAGCATGGCGGGGGCTACGCCCCTTGAAGACTTATGGATGGGGGCAATTTGAATCCGTTGAACTTTTGCGTTTAATAATAATTGAATATTCTTCACCTCATCATATGCTTCTAAATCATAACCATGTCATAAAATGCTAATGCATCGATCCAATTAAGAATAGAATTTATAGGCATCCACGATGGCATTGGCATGGTTAGATTAATGAACCCAATGGAACAAGAGATTAATTACGTTAAAAGTAGAAAGCAAGAAACAGAGGACCAATCTCTCTCTCTCTCTTTTCTTTAAATCTCCGTTCCAAAAACAGATGTATCATCGCCAACCAACCAACCAACCAACACATGTACGGAGCACAAGACCAATCTAACAAAATTGATCAATGTCTGTCTGTCTCTCTCTCTATTCACATGGGAAAAACAGAGTTTCTTCTAAACTAAAGAGAGTGGGGAAAAGACCTGCGAGCGGTAGGACGTCTTCGGTTCAACAGTTTACCAGTTGTAGTTTTCATTCTTTTGGCGCCATGAATGGCTTCATGATCAGCCTCTGCCATGGCCGCCGCCAGTATTCTTGTCCGCTGAGACGGTCTGCTGTTCAGATACCTCACCGCTATCTCTCTGTCTGCAGCTTCCACCACCTTCCCTTTCATGGGTTGTTTCAAAGTTTCCTTCTTTTTCTTTGCCCCCTCCGTATGCTTCCGCTCAATCTTGTAACAACTTTCTGCAAATTCAGACAGCACCTTACCTTGTTAAGATTTAGTTTAACACGTAATCACAATTCGCCCTCTCAGCAATTTCCAGCCATTGATTGAAGATCATGTAGATGTATAGATTTATCAACCCATCATTATCAACCGACCTGAGCATAGTATGTCTGATCATAAGAGAAAATGAAGGCATGAATGTACCTAGGTGTGTCTTAGAACAGTCATTGACTGGAACACTAGCACTGTTGTGTTTTAGGACACCATCCAGACACGACGAGTCGGATTCTTGTTGGAGCAAGGGCTCGACGTAAGGTTTGTCATAATCTTCAGCCTCAGGATCGGTAAAAGGAGAATCATTGCTGTTAGATTCAGCCGAATGAAACACTTCTTCCTGTGGCTCGGGACAACAGGAAACAGGATCTTCCATTGATTGAAACACTTCTTCAACCAAGTTGCATGGCTTGTCGGGACTAGCATTATTGATGTTCTCGGAAGATACCAACTCTCTGTAGGCAGGATCCAGTACCGACTTTGGTGAGGAATTCGACATGTTCGCTTCAAGATAGGGCATAATCTGTTCAAAAGCACTAGAAAACCATGGAGTCCCCTCCCTGGCATAAAATAGAATATATGCATCCTGTGATAGCACACTACCTTCTTCAATTCTAGTTACCTGCCCAGATTTCACAACAGGTTAAAAAAAGTTCACATATTGAAGACTGTTCTGAAATCTACGAGCCATTAGAACACTCAAGTCAATTGAATCCACTGATTATTTCACCTGTGAGTCATCAAACTTATGCCATGTCTCATGGGCCGACCTCACATACGATGAGTAATGACCATAAGTTAGTGAACTCCCGATATGCTCCACCAGTGCATATAGATGGTAAGTTGTACAAACCTGAAGAAAGAAATGAAAAAAGGGGGTGTCAAAATGAAATCTTGCATACTCCCAAGTAAAGATTGCAGAAAGAATGAGAAGCAATCAACCATCATGAACTGCCATTCTCACATACTTCATTTTCTTGGCCGCCACTCATGTAGGGCTGTAAATTCAGCTCTAAAGGGAACTCCACATGCTTGAAGATCTTCTCCATAAAAAATCCGTCGTTCTTGAATCTCTTCAAATGAAATGCGGCTACCAGTGGCAACTTATCGAGCATGAGTTGCTTCTCCTTTGAAACTTTTTCCTTGCAACTATCACATGTGAATTGGTCTTCAAGCTTTTCCACACAGGTAAAAGATTCTAGTGCACTTGCTAGGTTATCCACATCTTCGATTTCCAAACTCAGGCAGAGAGAATTTTCATATGTATCAGAAAAGGAATTGCAGCTGCAGCAACGGAGCTGAAAGAGAATGGCCAGGTTTTCAACAAATGAGCAGACATTTCCCATAGTCATATTTTGTCTAAAACTTAAACACTAAATCAGAAGGATGGTTTGATTTGGGCATTTCTTACCCTACTAACGAGACGACCGCCAAAGACATGCTGAACAACATTGACACCTTGAGAAGTGACATAACCAGACTTATTCCCAGGATCCAAACAACATCTCTCTAACTTATCCAGAAATGACTGTAGGAACTCATGGGCATCTTCTTGATGGTATCTCTGGAAACCAGATGAAATATCTGCAATAGCTAAGGATAACCCATTCATCTAAAGATATTCTAGACACAATCCAAGATATTCAGCTGATATGATCAACTCTAACGACAGCCCGTAATGAACAGAAAGGTACTGTATGTACATATGTTTTCTGAATCATATATCAGACAAAAAGGATACAGTTAAGATTATCAACAAATCGAACAGGAGATACATGATCTCCTGAAGATCTCAACGCAAGCTCAATATGATCTCGGAGAACCTGAGTAACACAGAACTCCTTACTGTCACCTGAAAGTCCAAATCATAAAAAAGTAAGAAACCCTGATCACCAAATCATTAGAAAACCACAACAGCATTTGGATATTAACAATCAAGGGACCAACTAAATCGGAATAGAAAGGATATATTTATATAGTCATTGAAGGGAAAGCTATAGAAAGCAGCCAGTTATAGACCATACAATTGCAGGGCCTTGAGTGCTTGTTTGAAAATAGGCTCTCGATAAGCGGCACAGTATGAGTGAAGCATTGCAGGATCGCATTCATGAAGCAGGTGTTGCCTAAATTCCAGAGCCCTGCACCCTGCAAGCATCATCATTGAACTTGCTCAGAGTTCAGACAAAATAAGGGATAAAAATGAACTCAACAATCAATTAGTTTTGCAATAATCAAGTACATGAACACATCCAATGTTTACAATCAAACTGAATCACAAACAACTTGCAGGAGATCGTAGATATCTCAAGTGTAAGGATGCAACAGAAGGTTAACATGAATATTAGTGTCACCTTGAAGGTCAAAATCACACTACACAACCAAATTCATACGAAGTTACGAACAAAGTAGATGTAAAAGGAAAGGCACATACAACGCCAGTCGGTTCGATCTTTGGAGGTTCCTGTTGGGGTCCCGACCACGTAGACGACCATGAATTCCAGCCAAGTTCGGTCTGCTCCACTTTACGATCATCATCACTTTTGATGTCACAAATAGCCATAACCCCACTTGGTCGTTGATTATCTGTACAGGAAGACGTACACAAGTTTCCGGAAGCATCATCATTTTCGTCCGGAGAGTGAGGAGAATTCTCATTTCGTATAGAACTGTTACACCCGCTATCGCTCGGAGGCAAAATCTGAGCCTGAGGCGTGACTTGAGAACGGAAACCCTCGCTGTTATCGAAACCGACTGAAGAAGGCGGCAGAGGAGGATCAGCTAGGGCGTCTTGTGACGACGAAGAGGAAGACCCATCCGGGTTTTCAGGCTGGTCAAGGGTTTCGGCCGGAGCAGAATGCTGATCATCTCGATCTGGTGATGAGAGAGCCAAAGACTTGACAACAAGGGCTCTAATCGGAGCGGTAGGCGAAGACTTATCTAGGGGTTCGACGGAATTGGCTAATTTCGGGGAACACGAGCTCTCCCACGAAATCGGTAAAGACGTGCCAGTGAACTTGACAATTTCACCCATTGTGGCTGAAACCGGAGAAGACCGAGTCAGATTCGGATGATGAATGGACTCCTACCAACAAAGACGAAACGGAATCTAGGGTTTTCGATCGGGATAAGTGATTTGACCAATCAATAGAGAGTAAGAGAGAAAATACCTGGAGGGAAAATCGATTTTCGCTCCCTAAAAAGCTGGAAATTTTCGAATTCAATATCGAATCCTAGAAGAGGAGGGAAATGGAGGGAACCTGGAAAGCCGAATTGTGGGAGAGTTTTGAATTAGGAGGGAAATTCGAGCCGCCATTTTTTAGGGTTTTTAACCTCCGTGAAAACATGGATCTCAAACCCGACAAGTAATAACGTTTCACAGTTAGGGTTGGGCCTCTCCTTTAATTTTGGGTTTGGTTTACCCGCGGTTGGGTTTAGTCTTAACTCTTAACCATGGTTTCCTTTCACATATCGTACTTACTTTTTTTACCACATGTAATATATACAATCATTACGTACTATACAGTATATACACTGGCCATTTATAAAAAAAAAAAAGATATATCATACGATGCAAATGTATAATCCACACAGACTAAGGCAAAGATCAATTCAATTTGATCACAATTAACGTAGAAAAACCAATACAAATGACAAAAACAAAGATGTAAAAAGAAGATAATATATGTTCGAAGACAACAATAGAGTGTGTTGTACAATATAGCCACAGTATTGATATGAAGTCCCATTTCCAACCTCTCTAACTACAAAAAAAAAAAAAAAACCAAAAGGAAACTGTGTTTTTGGCCTTTTCGAAGCTAATAAAAAAAGGAACGACAAAAGAAAAACAATAACCCTTGAAGAAGAAGAAGGCATAAGGAAGATGTTATTCCAAGTTTTTTTTTGGGGGAGGGGGGGGGGGACAC